AGGAATGTTCTCTGAATTACAGCTATCAACAGTTCATATTCACGACAATACGGCCCTACACACAAGTGTTCTGCCAAATGCTATTTGGGAAATCTAGAAAGAAGATGTAACTTACAGCATTTGGGAGCATGTCAAAATTCATAAGGTTTTCCAAGAAATATTTTGGCACTGATGCCTTGAACCTATGGACCTCAGCCAGCTATTTCCACTGAAATGAACGATATCAAAAGGAACTCTTTTCACCAACATGTATTTTCCTTTTATAAGACCCCCTCCAATTTAGTGAGGACATGCTGAGATCTGGTACTGCACAATAAAGCACAAGGGCTTAGTTATTAGAGAACACAGTGCAGCTCTTCGAATTATATTATACAGACAACAAAATCCCTCAAGTGCTGACCAGTGCAAATTCTACTGAACAGACCTAGTCTGAGATCAGGGTCAATCTCAGAACGTCAGTAATTTAGCATTCCAAGTAGGTGTGCGAACTGCCGTTACTAAGGGAAAAATTGAGATTAAGTCATCCTTTTAAGAAAATTCTAACAGACACAATTTCCCATGACAGAAATTATGGCCAACAGTAAAGCTATTAAAAAAAATTAAATCTACTTGGTCAACACAGAAAAAAGGTGCAGAATGAAACCAAAAAAGAGATGTTGAGAGATGTGGAATGCAGACAGCATCATGCCAGTACAAGACAGCACAGAAAACTGTGACTATTTACATTCCACTGAAAGTACAAAACAAAAGGTTATGCAGCTTTCCAAAAGCCACAAGTAAAAAGATACCCATATGTTTTCTTCCTTCTAATTTTCTTATCAAGTAGTTCAATGGCATATTAAAACTCTTCCTATTAATGAGTTATACAAACTAACTTGAAGGTCTGCCAAAACAATGGCCATTATGAAAAGCACAGTATAAACACAAGTCTCCCTTTTCCCTTTTTTTGCTGGAAATAGTGTTTTGCCCAGCACAAAACTTTTCCTATAGATTAATTTCCTAAATCCACAAAATAGAAACTTTCTACTTACCTTTTTCTTCCTTGTAAATTCTATGAGCTATTTTGTCTAGTACATTTATTTTCTGACTAAATGTTTCCATGTAATCATTAATTTCTGTAAACATTTCAGGACGATTTTTAACTCCTCCTCTTACTGAGGATGCTACAGCTCTGACGGTCTGTCCCATCCTGCTCAGCAAACTGGGACCCTGCTTCTTGTGTGAGGAGAGTTCCTAAAGACAGAACAAGCCATGTTTACTTCCAAGGACTTTTTTAAATTCTCTCAAATACTTACTGTAAAGCTTTTTTTTTTCTTTTTTTTTAAACAGAACTACACGCATAAGCCTCTGTGTGTCTTTTTTCGTGTATAAATCTTACTTCAAAGTTACTAGACCAGTGTCAGAACGGTACCTCTCATGCTTTTATTAGCTAAGCCTTTCTGGGCAAACACAAGCATGCCAGGTATCACACTCTCACAAAAATGATTAAAGGTGGCAGAGAACCTTTACCCTTTCATTCTGTAGGGTGAGTTAGCTAGTTTGCAATTTAGCCTTTTGAACAGGAAAGCAGGGGTAATGATTGCAGAAATAAGTCATTGAGAAAAGTAAACAATGTTCCTACTGAAAGAAGTAATTAATCTATTTTTTTTAACTCTTTTTATATGTTGCTGGAATAACCTTTGCTGAAGTTCAGAGGCAGACTTCTCTGAGTACAAAACTCCAATTTTCAACTGGACACATCTTGCAAAAATACAACAGGAAATTCAAAGGTTGTATTTTTCTTTTACGAGACTAGTATAACTTTAAAAAAAAAAGTAGATGAAAAAGACAGTGCCATGCCAGAACAAGAATTAATTTAAAATACTACTTTTCATATAATCTTGGAAGCTTATATGCATACCAAAAAGCATGCAGTTGAAATACTGTGAATTTGCCACAAAAATCCAAAATGCAGCAACAAAAACTGCTTTGGAAGATACAGCAATATTTATGGCCACATGCATGATTACCAAAAGCACCAAAGAAAAGGCTATCTTGGGGGGATGAATATTCCATAAATTCCTTGCCACCTTCTGACACTTCTGTAACAAGCCGTGGGAGGACACTATTGAATACTGAACTAGGGAGAAACCAGATATACTCTACTAACACAAGATGTGGTTCCCCATAACTGTAAATAAAAATAAAGTAATTTTACCCAGGCCTGCGCAGTAAGAAAAATTTTGAAGTCTTCATTAAAAGTTAAAGTTGGATGATCAGCGATACGGTTCAAAAATTTATGTAAAGCTTTTCTTCGGGTCTCAATGAATTCATCACTAAATCGTTCCACCATTCCTTTCATTATGAATTTTTCAGGCAATGGCTAAGGAAAAAAGAATAAATATATTGTATAATTTGCATAATATTAGGAGTATTATTATAGTTCCTCTACTTACTAAAAACCATAGGTATACCGTGTAAAATCCACCATGCAAAAAACTGTTACAAAGTTATCATATTCAACAGTGGTATAACATGGTTCTCGTAGCACACAGTGCAGAAGAATACAAGTACAACTAAGAAAGAAGGACATACATGAGTGCAAATTACTGCAAATGGCACAATTACAAACATAAGAAATACCTTTATGGGATATATAGTTATCACATACATATAGAGCTAATGAAAATAGGTTGGTTTAATGTTTGTGAGGCTTCAGAAATTGAAGAAAGACCTCAAACATCTCTGTATAAAACTGGAGCCATCTTATAAACAAATAAAAATAACTTAAGTTTTAGCAAACGAACAGGAATAATCAATGTTGGATGTGCTTCTTCAAGTTTGCTCTTCAACCAAAGGAAATCCTGATATCGTCTTCGAACTTCATACTCACTGGAGTCAAATTCACCACGAGACGTCTGAAAACCAGAAGCAGATAAAACAAGCCCAGGTTAGAGTATCAGAAAAAAAGAACAAAATCGGTTTAGATTTTGGAGAAAACGGAGTCCCTGAAGGGAATGCATACATGATTCTATTTTGCCCATGTTATTTGCTTGCTGTTTTTTAAAGTGCAATGATCAACTACTTGGAGAGATAAAACACAACCCATTTAAGCAAAAAATCAAAAATTCTATTGTAAAAAAAGAAAGAGGAAAAGAAAAGCAAGAACTACTCTGCACACAGAGTGACTGGTAATAACTAGCCTACCACAATGTTTCCAAAAGACTTCAATCATTATTTTAGTGTGGCATTTTCCTTTACACAATCACAATTATGTTATGTTACGTTACTTTTAGGGCATGTCTTTTAAAGTGGTTAGTAATCTACAAGTGAGGAAAGTCCACTTTTTAGCATTCTGAAAAAAACCCCAAATAGCTGACACACGCCCTTGGGACTTGCTGACACTAGTCAACAATCCCCGCATTCAAAACATGAAAACTTTAGCCTATCATAGCAATAACACTTCTGCGCTGCTTAATGGATTCTGCATTCCATCATCAATTCCAGTTTTGTAGCCCTTTGTTAGAACTTGCCAACAAACCTTTAATGCCTAGAAAAAATGCTTATTACAGTGTTGCAAAATTGTCAGACCATGAGATTTATTTTATCTCTGCTCTATCTTCTAGAATCGAGCCACAAAGAGCTCGTGTTTTCATTAAAGTAATGCGTGCTGTTTAGCATTCATTGTTGCACAGAGATTAATAATGTGATGCAAGTAAATTCTAAAAACCTCAAAATGCGCTTTTGTAATCTAAACATTTTGGAGGGTTGAATAAAATTTTTTCAAGGTATGTGGGAGGAATGGTATTACTTTATCATCAACAACCAGCACTTCAAATTAAATACGATAAGAAAGGATAGAATAGATAAAAAAGCAAAAGCAATCCACCTTCAGCCCTTCCATACTTGCCTGAAGAAAAAATGTTCTCTCATCTACAAAAATATGCGTAAAGTGAAAATTATTGCTAGCAACCTAACGAAGATAACTCTTTTCCTAGTCTTTAAATATTTTATGAGGAATTGATATCTCCTCTTATTTAAGAGTAAATGATTCCCATTTGAAAATTTCGTTTTAAATTAACCTTTTAAAAAAACTTTAAAGTAAAATAAATTAACAGAGCAGTTCTCAAAATGCAGCCTGCAGAATATTTGCTGGTAATCCCAGAAGAGGTGGCTAGTCTCACAAGGCTGACTTTCTTCCTTATTTCCAATAATTAATTTGTATTCAGGACAGCTAAAAATACACTTAGTTGTTTCCTAATATTACTTTTTCATTGGAGAATTGCAGCAGTTTCCTCAGAAATCACATGCCCCTGTAAATGGGCAACAAATGTCCATGTCATAGTGCATGCTGTGATTACGAGAATGGAATTGAAAGACTTTGTAGCAGGTAACATTTATGCCAGACAAAAATCCTTTGCTAGCCTGCAAGGGATCCAAAAGTCATAAATACTCGGGCTAATATAGTGTCTTTGAACTGAATCAGTCTTTCTGCTGTTTCATATTCAACAGCAAATGTTATTCTCATATAGAACTGATTTGGCCGCTGAAGGATTATTAGCTATTTTCTCAGCATAAAAAACTGAAGCATCTATGTGTGTAGACTTACACTGACTTTTTTTTTTTTTCAGAATCTACTGCACAGTTTCATATAGTTTTAGTGGTCTATAACTCATTGCAAAATCAGGGTATAATTTAAATTTAGTCATATCCCAGAGAATGGTATGCAAGAAGAGTGAAAATGCTACTACTGTTACCAAGGTAAGCCATTATAGCCATGAGCAGATGCTTACCTTTGTGACTACTCTGTATGTAATAAATGTTTCAATGGCTGTAATGTGGCTTTCAGGATCATCGACTGTAATGAAGAGATCTCTTAATTCTGGTTCATCTTCAAATTTATACTGGTTTATCATTGATGAAGGGGATATTGGCATTGAAGGACTGAATGAGTTTACCTCAGCCAGTGATGTATCCTACAGATAAGACATGAGAGCATCCATCTCAATACATCTTTATATACAAACACACATATGCAAACACATATATCCCAGATGCTAAAATGGCAAGCTTTTAAATAGTCTGGTAAAACAGATAAAACAGAGCAGATGAAAGAATTATATAGTGCGTGGCAAATCTATAATCCTTTTCTGTATTTGCTTCAGTGAGGATGTAAGAAATGAGATTTATTCTGAAACTGATAAGAGCAAACCGCTACCATTTGACAAGAATGTTGTGCATAGCTAGAAAGAGAATTTGCCTATGAATGCTAGGCAAAAAAATTAGTTACGAATCCAAACACCCAGTCATTGTGTAGGATACTTACCAACTTTATTAAAATTGTTAGAAGCCAGTTACTCAGGACTTAGGAAGTTTGAATTATCTCTAATAACCTGAACAGGGTGGATAAAAAAGGATGATTTTAAAAGAAAACAAGACAAAATCCAAATGAGAATTTTTATTGGAATTGGATATTTCAGTTTGCGTACATTTTAAAATAAAGTTTGAAATGGAAAACTTTTACAGAGATATAAATTTAATCTTTTTAATATGAAAAACAGTAAGTAAGGATGCAGTACAAATTTGTTGCTTAATTTCTAAAAAAAACCCATCAAACCACTGTTTTGCTGAAGTGGAAAACCACTTTTTGATACCATCAACCACTTCTACCACAGCTAAGAATACACCCCTATAGCTGCTGCTTCTGCTTAGTGCATTCCGTGGTGATCACTCAAATGCTGAGAAACTGAGTGGAAATTAGAAACAGGAAAAAAAAATCTCATTTTCTTTCTTAGATGCAAGTCTGGATGAGATCTACTAATCTAAAATCTTGGAGGATATAGTGACTTGGAAAATAAATTAAATTCGCTAACACCACAAAAGAGCATAAGAAATGAATAAATCACTAAAAATCATAGAACGATAGAATGGATTAGGTTGGAAGGGACCTTTAAAGGTCATCTAGTCCAACCCCCCTGCAATGAGCAGGGACATCTTCAACCAGATCAACAGAGACTGTTTCAGCTTGCCCTAAAGGAGCCATGTGGTTGTCTTCTGGTTTCTTCTCCTCGTGTCCTTCTCTGACTGCCGCAGCTCCACAGTCAGTGAATTCCCATGGTCCCGTGGCCACTGTGGGAGACTGAGACCCCTGACATCTCATCCTCAGCAACAAAACCCCAAACCAGAGCCATGGCCAAGACCCTAGTGCATCCCTGAAGAGCCCAGCCAGATCTTCTCCCAGGGAGATCTCGGCGCTTGTGATAGACAAGCTCAATGTAAATATTCCTGGGCTGTTTGCCTGCAACTCCAATAACATCGTATTTTGTCAACAAAGTCATGTCAGCAGCAATTCATAAACTTCACGCTGGTCAATTTTTTTCCACCAAACAAGCCCAGGGATATTTTGACTACCTGCCCTTGAGAAGTTTAATTGTGTAGGGCAATTAAAATCAATCACTATGTTTTAAATATCAAACTTTTTATACACTTTTTCTAATATATCCAATGCAATCAAGTATTTTTATAACAAAATTTAAAATTAATCTGTTTTCTAGAAGTGTAGTTAGGCTACACTAACTACCAAGTGGCAAAGAGTTGCCCTTTCTGATCCCTCACTAACTATGGAGCAAGGAGCAAGGAGCAAAGGGATGTTGCTAAAGAGTGGCAGAAGTGGAAATGTGGGAGTCCACAGAAACCAGAGTCACAGCATCATCCCAAGGCCGATCTCGTGGGAGTAAAGAGCACACCACCGCAGTGCTGCTGAGCTTGGTGAGAGTTGCCTTTTTCTTCCTTTGAATATAACTGGATCAAAACTTTCTCTGGAACATGTTCTCCTCTCTTGTTCTTTTCCTGCCTTAAACCTCGTTGCCTACTGCCATCCTTCTCCTTTGGATTTATCAGCATACTCCCACAAATATGGAGTAGAAATTTATATTGAGAATTATGCATGGAAAGCACTGCTGTACCAATTCTCCCATCACTTAGGTACAGTTCTTTGAATAGGGAGACAAAAGCAGGACAGAAGACTAAAGGCAATGCTTTAAATATTATATAGCTGCTTACTTGTACACCTGTAAGTCATTTTATTTTTACTCAGTGTGTTCCTACGCATGATTTCTATACTGGTATGTAGCCAGCACTGTCCTGAGTGCTGGAGGATAAATAGAGAAGCTGTTTTCACTGCCTGCTAGCACTAGCTGGCCATGCTCTGCGTGAAGAATGAGGACTGCTACTTCAGAGCAGCCCATGCAATTCAAAGCACTGAGACAACGGGAAATTTCCAGGGAAAGAAAAATGCATGTGAGCATGTAAGGGACTTGAACAGCCATATAACTTGAGGAATAATGACTCTGCAAGGCCTAAATTGGATCAAAGCAAATGTGTTTCATATTTTCTCATTTTCCATGGGTCATTAATACCTTAATGTTTCATTCCTCCTTCTAGGTTGCTACTAAAATTGCTCTATACAGGCAGGTTTCTGAAAGTGTATTTTTATATGGAAGGGCTTATGTATATGTGGTTTGTGAACCAAAACACAGGCAATAAAAATCCATAGAATAAGCAGGTCTTCAGTTCTGTTGTAATACAGCTATAGTGTTCATCTGCACATGAATTAATGCATGTGAGTTTTAAACAAGCATGTTTTCCTTTCTTTATCCTTATGATATTTCAGGTTTACTTCCAGCAGTTCTTGAAGTTCGTGTGACATAAGTCTGATGTCATCACAGAAACACGGTAAAAAAAGATGATAATTTTCTATTTTCTATACAGCTGTCATTCTGTGGTTGGAACTATGGGGGTTTTGTGCATACAGATGAGGGCAGGAGGAGTTTTGTGGCACAGGAAAAACAGACAATTCTTCTAGCTCTTGGGTTGTATAACTATTTTTTTAAAAAAAAAAAAAAACTTTCCTCTTCATCCACACGAAGAGAACCAAGGTCCTGTCCCAGACAATGACGTCCTTTCCCACACCTCCCCCCAGCCCCACCTACCTGCAGTACCCCTTCTGCCTTCCAAGCCCTCTCACTACTGGCAGCAGCTGGCAGAGCTGTTTGTGCCAATCAGAAACAGGTCCATGCATTTTGATTTACTGGCCAGGAGACCAAACAGATGGAAAATCAATGAGCTCCTGGCAGCATGAGGGCCTTCTTCTGGGTCTCCTTCCTCTAATACTTGCAGTTACCTTCTTCTCACTCTCACATCTGGCCGCAATGGGCCAGTAAGACTCCAAAACAAATAAGGAAGGAAAGCACTCATACAGCAGGAGCTGCCTCAAAGCAGGCTGAGCACATGGCTGAGCCGGCAGCTCCCTGTAGAAGACATTCAGCCCAGGGGTTTGCCTAAACACCATTCCTCCCCAGAGCATAGATCCTTGACTCAAGGTTGCCTCCATGCCTCATCCATCCATCCCTCCCTCCCAGTGAGGATCCAGAGCTTGCAGTCTTCTGAGGCAAGGGATCCAAAGCAGGCCTGGAGATAAAGGACATGGTGGCAGAGTTTGTCTTGTGAGATAATAGCTTAGTTGTTGGAGCATTCTTCAAAGAAGCAAAGAGATTCAGGAAGATGGAATAGTTCCTTGGCCAAAAAATCCAGTCTTATAAATCAGTCTCAAATCCTTGATTGATTAACTTGTTTTGGAAGAAAAAGTAGCCTCTATGCAATTCTGAAGTGGCATGTACATCTTTTCCAGAAATACCATTAATTAAGTTTTCTGTAATTATGAAATAGACACAAACAGAATTTGAAAGAAGAGCTGCTAAAGATTTGAAATATTAACCGAAGTGCTGACAGCTTTGTCAATGCTAGGTCACCGTATCGGTTAACAAGGAAGGCAAAGATTAACTGAATGGGTATTGCGATACATGTGGTACTCTATACTGTGAAACTAATGGAACAAAGCAGGTTGAAAACATATTTGTGTGACTCGTAACTCAGCCCCCAGAAGTTGTCTTGCTAAAAAGACCTCAGAACTTTTTCCATGGTAACGGAAACTAGGATAAAGTGAAATGCATGTCACATCATGAAATGCTTTATCAGAGTTGCCAAAGATGCTAGTCTGTAATATTTGAGATGTGTCACAGGATACTGGGTCAATGGTGTATGACACTATCAGGTTAAATATCTATGAATTTTCCTAAAATAAAAGCCCTGTGTTTACATCTTGAGTAATAACCTAGGGTATTGAGGTTGACAATTTTTAAGAATCTCATTTTTCACCATTTTGGTGGCTGGTACATTTCATTGACTAAACTGAGAAAAATGAAGTCGATGTCAGTGTCAGGCACTGAACACTGCGCTACTGCTGTCCCGCTTGGCCTGCAAATGCCACACTACTACCTTAAAGACAGTGGCGCTGAGAAACCTCATTAAGATACAATTTAAAACAAGGTGGTCCTGGAACAGTACGTTATAGAAAAATTGGTTTTACAAAACTCAGTCTGAAGCTACATTTCGCCTGTCAGTTTCCCTTGAATATGTGGAACATGAACAAAATGGGGTGTAATCCCCAATCAACCCCACAGATTTTCATCAGCTCAAAAGATCAGCCCTCACACTGCACCTGAAAGCAAACTGTGAATTTCTGGTCTATGTATAACCACTGGATGCAGGTGTCCAAGCTGCGGAAAGAATGCTGTGTTTTCACATAGTATGAAATTTTGTTGTTTGCAGGAATAAGTTATCATGTGGCATACATGAATAGTAGTTAAGATATAACATAAGTAAGAAATATTTGGCATGAATCCAGGCAGCAGAAATTTAAAGATACAGATATTTGCCATATAGCAGCAGTAACTTGTATCAGCTACACTTGTTTTTATTTTTCATTCCCAAGGAGCATCGCTCTCGACAAGCAAGCAGCATAACTGTTGATATGCTGTATTGATAGGCAGATACCTACATGCAGAACTGCCTGAGCTTACCTAGTAAAAGCAAAAGGATTCAAAGTAAGAAACAAACAACTAAAATTGTATT